ATATATATATATATATATATATATATATATATATATATAGTTGGACAACTATAATGAATAGTAATATAAGTGGAATCTCAGCTGTCAGATCTTCAGCATATGGTTCAAAATATATATTACTATATGAATTTTATTTTATTTTTTATAAACCTGATTAAGATGAATCTTTGAGTATATATACCTAACATTATTGTACACCATATAAAAATATAAAAAATTTATTTTCTATAATTTAAAATGACCAAACTACCTTCTTCATCTTTCAGAGGTATTTTGCTCATTTTATATTTTAAGAAATATTTTTTATATATATTTTAATTATGCGCCCTATTTTTTTGGTACACAAGTCTAAAATTTCATTATGATCTGATTTCTAAAAAAAATATTAAAATTCATAAAATGATATACATTCTGAACCACATGATGAAGATCAGACGGCTTTCATTCCACCTATATTATCATTCATTCTAATATGCATAGTCCAAGTTAGTTGGAAGATATGGTTTTGTGATTGTTTAAAAAAAATTAACACTATATGAGAGAGAGAGAAAGAGAGAGAGAGAGAGATACCATTAAAGAGCAGCCGGACTCCACTTGCTTTTCCATTTTCTGCGAAATGTTGTCTAAATATGCTTTGAAAAAGCTAGGATTCTCTTTGGACAGCTCTTTCCAAACTGCAAATGCCATATCATTTCCATTTGTCATCCACTCCTACTACATTGCATGCTTCTCTTTCATATTTTTGTTTGAGTGAGTCTGGCAGACAGAAGTTCGAAACGAATTTGTTTTTAACCATTTCAAAACAATTTCAACAATGGTTGAAAACCATTTCGTTCCCGATAATTCATATATTATGAACAATAAGATTATTGCTTGAAAATTGTTTATTTTGCTTTTCTTTCCCAAACCTAAATAATAGAAGAAAAAATGTGATGCACAGTTGCACACAATATTCCTTTTCTTTTCTTTTTCCTGAACCTCAACTTAGTAGTCTGTCACTCACCAATTGTTGAAGCAAGCCTAGTTTCTACTGAACTCAAACTCACCATCGTTGATCATGCATGATGAATGGTCAAGATATGTGCATACAAAAAAGGTCATGTGCACGGTTACATGAAATAATGTGTAGATATTATAGGGGAAAAGCAAAGAATAACCTGTAACGGTAATGGATGGTTGGATTCTAGCATGCTTTGCTAGTGCCTTCACACAATCATCGCGGTTCATTCGAAAAAGCAAGCATTTCTCTATCAAATGCTGTACCTGAAATGTGTAATCTGGAGTTATTTTCAAGAAATTCGGGAATAATTTCATAACATTTGGAGAAATAATAGCTTAAATTCAGAACTTCAATTGCTAGGTAAATCTTGTGCTCAAATCTAATGATGTGGAATTTGGAGCTGCCCGGCCCTCTATCCTTGAATCAATACTTCTCGATTGAAAAACAAGATAAATGAAAGCAAAAAAAAAAAATGAAAAACTCGGCAAGGTTTTCAATTGCATTACAGTTATTTGTTTAGGGTTCAACCACGAAGGAAAAAAGGATCTTGATGAAAAAACCAACCGGCTATTTTTTAAAAAATTTGGGATGTTATTTTGATTGGTTTCACTGACCAAATCGAAACTAAAAAGAAAAGACATTACTGAGAGAAATGAAGCAAGCATGCGTATACCAGGCGAACATAAGATCGAGGGTGGCACTTAGGGCAACGGTGGGGGCGGACCGTCGTCGTACCCAAAATTGTGCACAGTGCCATAGAGAGATAGAAGAGAAAAAGAGGGGGAGGGGGGTTGGTGAAAGAAAAAAAAAAGTTGGGAAGAGTGGAAGATATTTGACAAATTGAGGAGGTAAGGTTTGTGATCCAAAGGTAATCTAATCGAAAGAGAGTGAGGGGTCAAAACTAAAAGTGTTATAGATAAGGAAGGGAGAGGCCAACCATATGGCTTCTTCCTCAAAATATTCCTTAAAATGGTTGGTGAATGGCCATATCCATGAATTGTTGTCACTCTGGGATGTGTCGCTTTTCCGCATGCACGCTTCTCACCCGAAGGATGGGGGTGGGACCCACTTCATGTGACCTATAAATGCCCCGTATAATTAACCTTTCATTCCGAGGTTAATTATAAAAGGAAAAAAGTTTATATATGGATGCAATCTTGTAGAATTACGGATTAATGTTGAAAAAACCATTGATTGATCATTTCCCCATCGAGATGTATGACCATGAAAAATAAAAAGATTTTATAACATATTATTTATACAGTCTATTTTCAAGATTTTCATATAAAAAGATTTTATAACATATTATTTACACCGTCCATTTTCAAGATTTTCATATGTTTATAGATCTACTTGATTTTAACCATTTTTTAAATTTAAAATTTTATAATTAGATATAAAAATAGATTTTGAGATAATCGTAAGAATATTTTCCATCGAAATTATATACCATGATAAAATTTGAAGGTACACCTTACCTCTATAGCTACGGTTTGCCAACTGCACCCATTATAAAAATAATGATTTATTTTGAAATAATAATTTAAGAGGACATTCCATAATAGAGAGAAAGAGAGCTTCCATCTTAATGTAATTGTAGAGAGAGAAGACGGATCTACTTTGCACATCTCATTTGATAGAAATAATATAGTGAATAGGGAAATATGAATATCCTTCTCTTATTGTAATTTAAGATATTATGTCTGGAACTAAATCGCAAATACTTCCTTATTTGTTACTAAGTTTTTTTTTTTTTTCTCTTTTCATTTATATCTTTCATTAAATTAGTTTAACTTATATTAGTACATACACTATTTACTTATAAGTGAGTATTATTTTGAAAAAAAACATTTAAAAAAATAAAGATGCATAAAAGAAAAATAATGAAGGAATTATCTTATTGTTTTTTGGATTTAGCAACATAACTATTAACTTTTTACCTTTTAATCATCAGTACATATATTATTTACTAAGTAAATATTATTCTAAAAATTTGAGAATATAAAAATACGAAAACACATTCCATCCTACATATAAGAAAATTATAATAATTAGATATCTATTGTAATCAAAGCTAATTATAATGTTGGTATTTTTTTTTCTTTCGTGGTAATGCATTCTTTTTTATTTTTTTCAATTTAGTTTTGGATTTTGAAAAATATGAAAAATTCAAACAAAAAATGAAAGGAGCAAAAAAAGAAAACATAATCAATAAAGAAAATTGGAGAATGAGGTTTTTTTTTTTTAATATACTAATACTACACTTTTAATTATTTTATTATACTAATGTAACTTGCATTTTGAAGTAGTTATTTATTGAAAAATAATTTCAATTGTGTTATTACTTATATAATTTTCATTTACGGTTAATTATTATTATATATTTTTTATATTTACAATTACATCATCCACTAATTAAATAATTTTTAATTATACAGAAAATATATGTAATTAGCAAAAGAGAAATAGTGAAGGAATTCTCTTTTCGTTTTTTGCATTTACCATACTAACTTTTCCCTTTTCTTTTTTAGGGCAATAGTATATGATTAATCTATATAATTAGTATTTTTGGTAGATTATTTTCTTTTTTAATTTACATTTTTAACTGTATATGTTGTAACCAACTCCAAAATTCTTTTTAAATATATTAGCGAATATATTATGTACTTCCAAATATATATTATTCTAGAAAATTATAAAAATAAAAAATAACAAAAATATGCCATATAAACTTCAAAATACAATAAGAATTCTATTTATAAAATATATTTATGGGTAATTATTAATTCTCTCTCTCTCTCTCTCGATCAAGAGAGAGATTGGGAACGATAACATAATTAAGAGAAATATCCAAAATGTAAAAAATACTTACATTTAATGCTACTAAAATAGGGTAGGAATGCAAACCGGGAAAAAGAATATGTAGGGAAGCAGTTAAGATAGTGAGAAAAAGTACATCGAAATTCTGATAACTTGAAAATTCAATGACTGAAATGCCCATACAAATTTTAGCGGAATTATGGTAATTTTATCATGAAAAGTATTTTTTATTATTTTTATCTTGTGCGCCCTTAGTAGATGTATTCATGCCCCAACTTTTGCTACAAATTATTTATACAATAAAACTTTAAAATAAAACACTTTGAACCATCGGATCAAGATCTAACACTCAAGAGCTTACTCTCTTAAATAGGACGGCTGAGAAGGCCATGTATATTTTATATGTGGGTGGGGTCATATGTAAAGTTTTCCCTTTAATAACATTAAAAAATAGTAAGAGTGCATGAAAATAGAGAGAAACATAATATAATTAGAGAGCTAGCATATTAAGATCTCGTGGAAATTGGGAGAAACATCTCGAGGGGAGAGAGAGAGAGTATTGAGAAAGAAATCCAAAATTAATCTAAAATAAAATGTTTAGGAATAAATCTAATTTTTTCTTAAAATAAATATATTTCAATAATTAATTTTTTTTTTTTATAGTCATATAATATTTGTACGGTTCATACTTCATATTTTTGTAAAAAAGTAAACTTAATATTTTAATAATATAATAATTTATTAAAATCTAAAAAAATTCTCATAAACCAAGTTCGAGAATCAAAATGAATGAAATGACAATATTAATTTCATTCAAACATTTAAAGTCTTTTAAAAATATAAAAAGTCAAAAGACATTAATATACAATTCTACCTGGAGTCTTACACGTAATGTCAATACAAAGAAATACATATATTGTTAAACAATTATCATGATTTATCAATTTAATAATGGAAACACACAAAATAATAAGAAATACATATATTGTTAAACAATTATCATGATTTATCAATTTAATAATGGAAACACACAAAATAATAAGGAAACCATAAACATATCCAAATGAATAAATTTTCCTCATAATATAAATAATTTTAGGGAATATATAAAATATCCTATAAAGAATAAAAACCTATAAAACATATGTAATGTAAGTATCTATGTTAGTGCCCCAAATGACATTAGAAAAAGAATACAAAAAAAGATAACTTATTTTTTCATCTAAAATCTAATTATCCAACAAAAATATAATTAAGAAAAATTAAATAACCTACAATAAAATATAAAAAAGTTCTTTAAAAATAAAAAAACAAAGAACATTAACAATTTCAAATATATGAAAGAAATTTATATAAGATAGAAAATTACACTTTTGTTATACATTCAACTGCTCACTAAATCGAAAAAGATTTTAACTGAAATATGGAAAGAAGAATATCATATAATATGTGTAAGTGAAAATAGCAAAAAACTCATTTGGACCTCAGGAAAAAAATCTGTGCAATAAAATCTAAAAAATGGAAAAATTACAAAGAATTGAACGTCAAAATTATTCTAGATAGTAAATTGAGTGCAAGGCAAAATTTTAATTTTAAATTCAACAAAAATTAAAATGAAATGGTAACATATGCTACCATTGAAACTATAAGTACAGTTGTTAACCAATAACTTCATATTTTATTTAATTATGTAATTAACAACCAAAAAATGGTCTACACAACTAAAATCAACGACTTCAACACTACAAAATAATCAAAAAGAAAAAAATAAATTCATTCTAATACCAATAAATACACCATGAATAATGAAAGTTTAGGGTTGAGAGGAAAATGCTAACCTCTTGGTGGATATGAACATGCCTTGAATGAGTATGCTTATCATCAAAAAAGATATGAACTTGACTTGTATAAGTGTTGCATATCATCGAAAAAAACATGGACATGCCAATAATCACATGACGGCATAGGAAATTATCCGCTAAAAGTAATTACATATTAGAATTCGAAAGCCATGGGAATAGATGATTCGGTATTTGTTTCTTGCTAGTTTGCATAAACAACCATGAGAGGGAGAAGAGAATTATAGGATGTAAGAGAAGACAACGTTGAGAGACAGGAAATAGGAGAGAAGAATGACATTATGGAAGGAGAGGGTGAGAGAATATGGGGGGAGATATTTAAGGAAGGAAAGAATGGAGTGCGTCATAGAAAGAGAGAGACGAGGGAGGGTGAGATAATGGAAAGGGAAAATATTTTTGTATCTTCTATTTTTGGTTTTCATATCTCAATAGATTTAAAGATTCAAAATATGTATCCTAATCCACTGACTAATTTTATCCACTTTTAACTATTTTTTTAGCCCTTGCAAATATCTTTAAGATGGATGCTTTACACTTTTTGGACCGCATATATAGGAATGCGGTCCATCCCGCATGAAACAATTTTCCATGACTAAAGGACATGGTTTTGGTGAGTAAGCCGATTCACTTATTGTTGTGTGGTCCCTTATCTATCTATCATCTATCATTAGGATGGATGCCACAAAATATTACATCCACTAAAAGTTAAAATAGACGGTGAAGAAAAGAATTTAAAAATAATATTTATATTTTTTGAAAAAGAAAAATTCTAAATTTAGATTATTGAACTCTAAAATTTTGGATTGAAAATACATCTTTGAGATATATTTTGTAGGGAGACTGCACAATAATAGTGTGAGTTGGCCAACTCATTCTGTGACGTACTATTATTGTTTTTAACAGTGAGTGGGTGAGTCTGAGTATCCATAGTTGGGTGGTTTGATGCGGGGATCTTAAAAAAAAATTAAAAAATATAAAAATAAGACATTTATGTGTAATGTATTTTTTTATATATTTTCTATCATTTTGACAAAGATAGGAATTTTTTTTGGCCATGAGTACTTATTTTTACAATTTCTCATTTTTTTGGATTATTTCTAAAATATCACCATCACCATTTAAAATTTTCAAAATCCATTGTTTCACTACTTTTTTAACATTATTGAGATGATTTCTTTTTTTTG